AAAGAAAATCTGATGTAATATGTTACAGATGTGAGAGGAACCCACTTAGCCAATCATAACATAACAATAAGCCAGTTTCTACCGAGCATAAGTCAGAGTCCTGCACTTATGAGCTGTCCTCCGCTCACGGGACATTCTGTAAAATTGCTGGCAGAGTTTTAGGCAAACCCACAGTATTGATATGTCCCTATCAGACACTCTTGGAACAAAGAGTGATTCTACTTCTGTAATTCATCATAGAGTGACTGGACTACCAGTTCAGACAGCTTAATTATTTGCATTTTCTGCATCATTTGCAGACTAAAACTCCTTTCGGTTACAGGATGTTATTTTCCTTTATGTTTCGGATCTAGAATTTGTTAAAACTCCAGGTAGGGGAAAACAGTATCTGTAAGGAAGGGACTGTTGCAATCATTATAATAAAATTAACAGATCAGCAACAGACTTACAAGAAAAACACAAGACAGCACAATTCTGCAGTCACTGAATAACTAAAGGGTTGCCTCTGCATGTGACCTCCTCACGAGATCTGTCGAATAACACAACACTGTTCAGACCTTGTTCTCTCTGCTCTGCGTTCCTTAACTGACAAGATAAAGTGTCATAAAAGATAATATTATCAGGCCTAACATAAAACAGATAAGCAAAATGTTAATGGCTTTGTTATTGAAAACATCAGAAAAATCTGTTATACTTGTGTTAGACTGGCACTCTATAGCACAGGTGCTGCCAGAGATGTCTCTTTTTGTAACACCAACAGCACTTGAAGACCAGCATAAGAAGTGAAGTTAGCTTCACATTGTTACTCCTTAAAACAAAACCAGAACTAAGGTAACAAGCACTGGTTATATCTTATCATTTCTGTGCTGTGCTACAGGAGCATGGAAAACCAACCCAACCATTTTGGTGTCCTAGGCAGGTAACATTAAAGTGAAAAATCCAAATTTAGCAGAGGAGCACTGTTTTCCCTGCATTACCTACAAGCACACAGAAACTCCAATTCAAGCACTGTACTTTAGCTGGTGAGAATCATCATTTTGTTTCCAGACCGAAGAAAAATATTTAACCTGTGCATATGCAAGTCACCGGCAGGGGGACAGAAAGGGAGAAGAGGGGGAAAAAAACCACAAACAAAAAAAACCCCAAGAACAGGACTTAACTACTTAGAAAGCTTAGGTGAAACAAATATTTTGCACTGCGTTAGTCATTCCTTTCCATTTTTCCAGTATAAGCCCTTGTTTTAAGGCACCCTTACACTGCTGGCTCTTACCTTCGGGACTAACAGCAGCAGCTCTGAAGTTGCTGAACAGTATTTTCACTGTTAAGTCTAATTTGTAGCCTTTCCCAAGAAGTGATAGAATTTGCTCAGTGCAGTTAGTGCAGCGTAGTATAAAAGCAGTTCTACAAGCAACATTTAAGCATGTTTTAGAACACAGACATCGTGCAGTTTAAAGCTTGGAATCTTTTAAAATTATCTTCTACAAATGGGTAACACAGACTTTAGTCATAAAATACTGACCTCTGCATTCAAGAGAAGCTTTCTAGCTCTGAGTATGTTTTGCATCCTGACCAATTTTTATATTTTCACTCCACTTATCTTTATGATGTCTTATGTAGAATATAAAAATGTTTTTAATCATATAAAACAAGAACTCTCTGTAACAAGACCAGATTTGTTTGTTTCTTAACAAATCTGATAGCAATGAACTAGATGACACAGTGTTGTTCCCTCTTTAGGTGGAGCCAGAATCTCCCCTGACAGTGATTTCAGTGGCTTCCACCCTGTTATTGCAACTTCCACAGTCAATTCATGCCAGCATTATATAACACCCCCCCCAAAACTGAAAGACTCCCCCCCTTCAAAACCAACCCCCATCCCACAAAAAAAACCCAAAACAAAACCGTTCTCCCCACTTACTATTGCTTTCTGTTTGCCAGACAAGGGCAACTTCCTTCATCTGAAGTGCCAGCTCACACCATTTTAAATGGACTGAGAAAGTATGACAGTATAGGAGTAGCAAGTGTCAGATAATTCAACATTATTTCAAGTTAAGTCACTCTAAGGAGTTACTACACTACCACAAGACAGTTTGTCTTTAAAAGTCTAAACTTTATCTGTTTTCAATGAATAAAATTCAAATTCTGTATTCAGTTTAAAGTTCTCAAGAGACCACAAATATAACAGAACAGTTTTCAAGCACAAAGTGACACAATAAACTGTTACATGCAAGATTTATATACTTATTATGTACTGAAGAGTCGCTCTGGAAAGATTTTATTTGGACAGCTTCATCTCCAACAATACACCCAGTACAAAACTCTGTGAAAGACTATCCCAGGTGAAAAAATTTAAAAAGAGAACAAGTAGTGCTACAATAATTTAAAATTCACCAGCTAAGGGTATGCAAAAACACACTTGCCAAGTGCCAGCTCCTAGAGGCTAGAATTTTTTTTTGTTTTTTTTTAAATAAATGCCCTCTTCTCCAAGCTGCAGCAGCAAAAAAAAAATTAGCATAGGTTTATGGAAGAGAAGGGGAAACCCACAGGACAGCATATGCTATCCCTGATGGACAAAACCAACACATCCCACTCTTTCCCCCCCTCTCACCCCTTGCTGCATGTCCTCCCCTCCCTTTCCCCAAACACCTTAAAGTATTTCGATATATTGGTCTTCATCCCCAAACAAAAGCAAAATAAAGTGTGGGGAAAACAAAACAAAGAGTTCTTCAGAAGTGAGTCAGCCCTTGCTGATCACCAACGAGAATATTAGTTATTTCCAAACTTACTTGGTTTAAGGCCAAGCTCAGTGGCCAGCATTTTGGCAATCTATATGCACAGCGGCCAGGACGCCTGGCACTTCTAGAGAAGGTGACAAGCCTGCTATCCTGAGAATTAGGAAACTAAGCAGCAAACTGGTCTGGGAGTTGGGAAACCTTAAATGGTGAAACCCGAGGAAGTCAGGACATCAATGTTTCCATAGTCAAAGAGGACAGAGGACCCAGTGGTCTGAGCTGGGATTTGCTGGGAACCAGCTGGGAGGAAACAAAGCAAAGTAACTGGGGAGGAATTTAAGCATCCAAATGCAAACTCCAACATTGATGTGAGCCATCATTTTAAATGACTCCTTGGGGTATGCGACATTTTGAAAGCCTCATGTTTCTCCATTTTCAAAAGGAATATTGTAAGCTTTGAAGATCAGCCATTTTTATTTCTTTTGATTTTTTGGCTTTTAGTCTCTCAGGACACCTCCTTCATTTTATCTATACAAACCATGCATGTAGAAGTGATTTTGTTAAAGAATAATCGACTAGGAAAATATATACTGGGTATTACAATAAATAACAATTAAAATTATATATTGGGCTGTAAGTAAAACTATTAAATTTAAAAAAACAGTCAAAATATTAACAAGCATTCCGTATGCTTGCAATATTTGGATTGGGTATCTTAGCAGTAACCTCCAGTTTTTCAGGCTGATTTTAGCATTGGTAAACAAACTAATTATGCTTCAAAGCAAATGGAAAAGCCTCAATACAAGTAAGCCTTCTAAATTGGGCTTTAATTGTTTTAAAGGTATGCTTGTGGCTTTGCTTATTACCTGAATCTCTCTTGCATTTTGAAATGAAATAGATTTCAAGAAGCCACACAATAGTAGTGACTGAAATCCATACAATTTTTACAACTTGGACTGATCTTGCCATGCACTGGTAGAGGCATCAGAAAGGTCACCATACAATTCAAATAATTTTTTTTACAGTATGAGTAAGAAATAACCAACCTTAAATTATTGTACTACTACAAATACTTGGATCCAAGTCACTGTTTTATAGTATATATGGGTAGGTGCATGAGGATTTTGTTTTCAAGGCTCTGAAGTGGCATTGAACACCTTTTTTTTTAAAGGTGTTAAACTGAGTACAGAAAAGTTTGTTTGTGAGCCCTTTAAAACAGTAATTACCAGGAAACCTATAAAATGCTAACCACTACCCCTACCAGAAAAGGTGGGTTACCTTTTCCATGCCAAGCTAACAGCTATTAAGATAGTCAGGCTGCCATCCTTTAATGCATTGATTGTTTAATGACAGATTCCAAGGAAGGGCTTCTAAGAAGAAACAATGCAAAAATGTTTAGAGACTTCACAAAAAGATTTTTTTTTTTTTATTAGTATACCAACCAGTTTGTTGTTTTGGTTTGGGGTTTTGGTTTTTTTTGGTTGGTTGGTTTTTTAAATATCAGGAAGGCTAGTGAAAGACAGTTCTTAAGTTGATTAATTCAATTCTCCCAATGATTACTTTGCTGCAGCAGCAAAAGTCACCTTCTTTTAATAAAGTATACATTATCAAAAGAACGGAAGTAAAGAGTTTATTATTCTTATTTCAAACAATGGTAACAAGCTTTTCAATGGATACCTCCAGGAATAAACAGCTGTATAGCCTAACTCCTCAAATTCCAACAACATTAAACTCAGATTAAAAACCTAAATTTAGGTTAATCAGCACCAGACTTTCCTCCATATCTTGTTTGTTCTACAAAAGTCAAAGAATTAGAAAAATCTGATATACTAATCATCTTGGGCCACTTTCTATGGGCCACTTTTCAAATTCCACCAAGTATCTGGGGTATAATTTTGTGACAGAACTTCTACCAATCCTCACATATAAAAAGCTGAGCTCATCAATCCAGTTTGATGACCAGGGAAGAAAGCTAGCATTTTTCTACCACTAACTAGTTCCCCAACTACCTGGACAATTCTCTAGAGGTTCAGCTATACACACTAAAGAACACAGTTCAAGTCTGGGGTTGGGATAAAGGAAGATGAACCAAATTGAGGACAAACAGCTGGAGCCAGACTTCCAGTGCTCAAGGTCCCACCAAATTCTTCCTTCTTCCCCCCTCACAGCAAGGAAAACTTATTTCTAAGTATCAACAGGTATTATAAACAGACTTAAACCCCAAACAAAACACAGACTTCAATAATTAAACACACAAAAATGCCTTACCCTCCTCGTGTTTTCCACAACTTTTTGATCTGGCTTTCCATAATTTGGTGGATTGGCATATGGATCATAGCCCAGTTTTGCTAGCATGGGTGCAATCACAGGCATATCCTGCAGAACATCAGCAGGTATCTTCCCAACCCACTTTGACAGTGCTTCCACATTGACTGGCTTGATTACTTGGTCAGTAGATCTTTCAACCCTGTGGAGGGAGAAAGAAAGGTTTTATTTTGCATTCCAACCAACACTTGCTGTTTCACTAGCATGAAGACCTTTAGCTCATTTGGTTTTTTTTCCCCTTCGTCCTCAAAATTTCATGTTTCTACAGACCCGATTGGAAGTGAAGTTTTACTACATAAGGCTAAAATGAAAATAACTAGCAAAACATTCATGCATGCTTTCTGGTTTAGGCTTTCACACAGAATGTATTGAAGCAAGTTCTTTATGTAAAGACAGCAGTGAAAGCTAAAGAGCTGTTAAGTGAAAAGTATGCACACACCTACATATAAAGCTGTTTTCTCACAGGCATATTCCCACATTCGCTGTTTCGTTGTCTTAAATGTTCTTGAAAGTTGTATTCGAAATTAAAATTTATGTGCCATTTATTCCCCTCCCATACTGTGACTAAACTTTTTTTTTAATAACAGATACCTATGGAAATGACAGAAAGCTATAGACTGCAATAATATTTTTCATAACCATTCCTTTTACTGGTTGTTTGGTCATTACAGAGTTCTTAAGGGCAAGTGCATAATCGTAGCAGCATAATAAGTACTGTGTTTACAAAATAGTTGGTTTGTTGCTCACTTACCAGTCCTAAAGTAATTCTCATTCTTGCACCTCAGCTTTGTTGTGTGTTTTTGTTGAAGTTTTTTTTCCAGGGGAAGAAATTTGGCATGACTTTGTTTTCCCACATTCCTTGTTTCTGCACAACTTCTTTAGTGTGTTTATTTCTGAAACAAGCTAGCAGGGCTCAGATCAGGCTGAGTAATTTATAACTCAAGAGTTTTTACTCCGAGTAGTTTTTTTTTTTTCTGAACTCAGAAAGAATGCACATGCAATTTGGATGTCAAGGTTTATCCTTCTTTTAAAACAGACTAAAATTAGGTCTGCATAAACAAGTTGCCTAAAGGAGTATTTGCATCTGCATTGCAATACTGTAAGGTATGCCACTATATCAGTGGTTCCTGCTGGCTGGTTATACCTGCCTCAAATCTGGTGCTAAGCACACAACTGCCACATCCACTTGCTGCTATCATCCTTCCCAGGCTTTCTTGACATCCTAAAGAATTTTCATCTCAAAAAGCTCTACCACCCTGAAAATTAAACTGTTATACTTGAAAGTAGCAGTACAAAGTATAACACCAATACCTCATCTACACAAGGTAAAGAATGAGAACACTGAGATAGAATTGAATTCTCAAGTGGCTAATTCATCAGTAATACAACAGGTAGAATATGAGAAAACACCAGGAAAATCAATTGAAGTTTCCAGATACACTCCCTTTCTGAGTCCAGAAGCACGAACTGAAGTCAAATCACTCTAAAGGCTGACAAGAGTCAACTTACAAAGAGGAACATGTTTGATTACAGTTACCTAATTAACTTCATGAGTCCAAGAGGCTGAAGAATTGTCACACAGCAGACATACATTAAATCAACAGCAGGAGGCATCCCACTCAGATGGGATGCACTGTACTGTGCAGTGAAAGCCTTAAATTACAAACTATGCACGTCTGCCAGTCATTAACTCAATTTGATCTTAACACCAGGCTTTACCTTGTTACTCTTTTTTACTCATCAGCTCAGATTCTTCCAGGACAGAGGAAGGAAGTTAGTCATACAACGCTGGAAGGTCAGTAATTTAAGTACTTTAAACACAATCAACAAAGAACAAATCAGAAAGGGAAAGAGTCACCCATAGGGAAATTGTCTTGGCAAGCAGGGCCTTCACAGATTGCTGCAAAAGGTGTTTTAACAGAAGCTGATGAGCAAGCACCTAACAAAAAAAACTGTAAGACAACCCCCAGGTTTTTCAGTCTAACTCTCTTCAATCATCTTCAGTAGCTCAAACTGAAGGCAGGAACTCAGTGGGATTTCGAGACTAGGGAGTTGCGACCAAATTTCAGCCTTCCTGAAGGCTATTGGCCTGAGATCACAAGTCTGTACAGCAAACTAAAAAGTCTGGGCATTGCCTTTTTGATCCCTCTAATTACAAGATAAGCATCTGACTTCACATCAAATTAACAAGAAAGTAACTGTTAAAGAGTTGAGTTTCAGAAGTTCCAAGTGGCAAGGCAGAGGACAAGCACAAGAACAGTCAGGAGGAATCCTCAGAACCACGATGCCTGGTACCCTCAAGAACGATTTATCACTAGGTGTTTGAGAAGGGTAAGATTTACAGTCCTCTCCCTCTCAGAGGCAGCCAAGCCCCAAATCCCTTCACCAAAACCACAGATTGATTTGACCATTAAACATAAGTGTGATACTGTGAGAACTAGGTAATAGGCTTAGCTAATTACTTACTGGAACCCCAAAACAATGGGCGCTATACACCAATCAGGACCCCAATTCATACACATATGGATATCTCATCCTGAAGTAAAAGCACATTTAAAATGTGTATGTTTTGCTCCACTGTCATTTTAGTCTTTGGTAACAATAAGCTCAGCATGAAACACTTCCTGGTGATTAATAGCTGGCAAGAGGGAAGCAGGGAACTACATTTAGCTGCTCCTAGGCACCAGTTCAAAAATACGCTATACCACATTTGGTCTTCTGTTTAAATCTTTTTCTGTCCTTTCAGTTAGGGGAGGAAGTAAAATACAGTTCGCGGGAAAGATTCTTCAGATCAAAGAAGATCTGAGGAATATGGGGGAAGACAGACTGGGGACAGAAGGAAAGAAACACCCAAAAAAACAGAGCAAAACATGAAAATGTACCAAGTCTTGGCAAATTTGGTTATGTATGCATATGGCAGATGCTGCCTGGTCAGTGCTTCCAGGCACTGCTACAAAACCACGGGAACAGTTTCAGCTTTGAAAGCAGATGGTAACATGGAACACAGGACTAACCCCAAATACATCTACATCTGTACTAGAATCAAAAGAAATGTATGTATTAAAAATAGCATATTCTGAAGCAGTTTTGCCTAGACAGCTATTTTCATAATAGGCCTAATGAAAATTGCTATAAAAGGGTTGACATTTCTTTGCAACAGTGGTCACCACAGCTGTTTTCAGTTAGGAGGCAAATGCCAGAGATATATTAACAATACTAGTTATAGCATGTAGTCCAGCCATAATACATTCCATGAACAGCCACGTTGGCAATTACTTCCAACCACAGAAGGTTTCCCGCTACTACAAATGCTGTGGTGCACATCCTTAAAACCCTTACAGTGTTTCTCCTTGCAGCTGAATAAAAACCAAAATAAGAGGCAAAAACACCAAGTAAAACAGAACAACGGTGAGGCTAGGGCTCCATGAGTAGCAGAAAAAGCAGGGATTACTAAGCAAATGCAGAAGAGAGTAAGGCAGCCAACAGTTTCTTCAAATCAAGCAGCCAGGAGGACAGACAAAGTCAGAACCTTAAACACAGAGAGTCTAGTATCTAACATTTCTATTAACAGACTATTGCATAAGAGTTTCTGAATCTGGAATAAAAAGAAAAATGGAATCAGCTCACTGCCTGAGGAATTCTGCAAGCCACTGGGTGGCCAGCTCATCTCTGGAAGAGAAATAGCCTGCACGCACAACTTATATACAACTGAAAATAAAACATCTTATACTGACCTAAAGCCTCCCTCATCTGATACAGATTTCGTTTGACAGTTAATTTTTATTTCAGAAAATATATTCTTAAACATTGGCTTTCTGTTATTCGGTAATAACATCATTATTAAGATCTTTTAGCACTACTGCTATCTCTTTCTCAAAATGTTTTTAAATATTTGAAGACAACACACACTTCTCAGATTTCTTTTCAAAAACCCTCCAACAGTTAAAACACACCCAGGCATCTTATGTTGGACCTGACCTGAGCAGACATCATGCCTCTGAAGTGGATGCTGAGGCTGTCTGAAAGATCTGAAAATCTTAACGGTGAGTGGAAGATGATTGAAACAGGTTTCTCTGCACACTTAAGTCTTTTCACAGTATCACAGGCTTTGCAGATTGTAATTGTAGTTCATTTTGACTTTGACTTCAGAGGTTTTCTACCCTATCTAATACCTTGCAGACAAACAGGAAAATAATTTTATCTAGATCTTCATACTCTCCATACTATGCTACAGAGGCCGATGTGTTGGTAACTTAAATGGACATCACATTTCAGTACAGATTATTTGATACTACAATCTCCTCCTGCCAGTAAAAACTGCAATATAATTTGAATGTTCTGATTTTAATATACTAATTATGAAACAGCCTGAAGCACTTGGTAACAGACATGTGGTAAATTAAAGCTCTGTGAGAAGACAGAGTTACAATAAACAGCAGCATTTTGGATTTCCTTAGATTCTCTCTGAAGTGATCTTCATCACCAGCCTTTGGGAAGTCAGGCAGGAGAAAGCTACTAATCCAACTATGGAGCTCCACTGTTCAACGCGGTTGTTTCAACTGAAAGACAGTAGTATTCACACTGTGAAGAGCACTCGCCAGTAAACCCAAAGAGAAATTCTAAGTCATAAGAGAACAACATTGGTTAAACCTGACCCAGAGCATAACAGCCAAAGCCATAAAGAATTTTGCTGCAGCTGAGAACAAGCCAAATGCAACCTGATAGAAGGAAAACTATGTGTAATGCAAGGTGTATTTTGTTCAGCTGTCAAAATTTGATAAGCTGTGGCAGATTCTCAAGTTCTCAGTAAACTACCTAGCAAGCATCTTTTCAAAGAGTAAATTTTTCTGGGCAGTTACCCCCTGCTCTGGGCAAAGACTCCCTAGACAGACGTCCCCATCCACAGCACTCTTGCACACGAGAGGGCAGTGAGGAGCTGGGGATGCCAAAAGCAGGAGGTTTTAACTGGTACAAGGAAATCAAATTGCGAAATCTCAAGCTCTCCCTGCACAATTTCAATTAGTATCATATAAATACACAAAATGGACATCAAAGAGAATTTCATATTCACTGGTTTTTCCGCAGCACTTGAAAGACTGAGTCACTGAAATCATTATAAATTTATAAAGGTCTCCTGCTACTGAAAAACAAATCTCACCACCTATTTCAAGGGCATTTGATTAGATAAAAACCACCACAGACAAAACACTAATAACCCATTCTTTTTCCACTATTGCCAGAGCCTTCTGAAATAATTACTTTCACATATCATCTCATGAGAGATGATAAAAGCATAAAGAATTCTGTGAACAGATTGAAGGTCACAAGAACACTTTCATACTCATTTGTCTTAAATTTGAAAGTCTGAATCAAAAATAAACATGAAGCCACATTTTACTTTCAACCACCCATTTTCCTAATTTTTAGAAACATGAACAAGTATTCTCAACTCCTCACATCCCATTCCACCAGTTTTAGCAGGTAATATTACTTGAAACTGTATGAATTCAATAAGGCTACTGTCTTCCATCATATAGGTGTCCATTAATTTTTTAAAATGCTAATCTGGAAGCTGTAAGGTAGTATTTTATTGGAAATGACATTACGCATTGTTAGTTTTACAGGACACTTAACAGAACTTGGCAACTACCTATTTAGACCAGTAAAAGTGAGTTTACTCCCCCCTCAGCTGCCACTGTGAAGCAGTAACACGATACAGGTAACTAAAGACAAGTCCACATGCAGGTAGAGCTTGCAGAGACGTACAGCAGTACACTGCTTCAGGTTAATGTTATCAGAAGGCTTTAATCTGCAAATGAACAATAAAAAAAAAAAGGGTTGAGATGCCTTCCTGATGGCTCTGTGAACACAGTGGTGGTGGCTGTGTTTCTTCAGTGGGAACGGTGATGCAAAACCTCCAGATCGTAAACATATAACCATTATCTGAGTTTCAAGTTCTCTTTGTACCCACTGACTAATGATTCTATGATATGCTTTAATTCATATTCCCCTTCACTACATTAGAAAATCCACAGTCACTTCCCTAGGCATTAAACAAACAAAATCTCACAATTTTTTAAAACTGTAGTCTCTATCCAGCCCACATGGCTTGCTGTGAGAGGTGCCTGCATTACTCAGAAGCCCTTGACCAGTGACAAATACTCAAAAACCAGAAGCCAAGAAATTTAACTGGGCATGCCCTGCTGCTGGAAGAGGGCTTTTTAATCAATATTTTAGAAACTTCAACAAGACAATCTGCTAGATGTTATCTGCCATAGCAAAAATGGGAAGAGAGGTTCAAACATTCACGCTTTTTCCCTTCAATGTAGAGACTAGCCAGCTTCTGTATTTCAGCTGCAAATAGTGGCAAAGAAACCAGAGTAGTTTAACTGGAGAATGAACTTATTCTTTTCACAATACCTATTTAGCCTTTCTAAGCAGAGCAGATTTTGGTTTCTGAAGGTAGCTAAAATCAGGTGCACAGATGGTACAACAGAATACTGAGAGATTTGCTTACAACAAGGTTAATTTTATTCGAAATGCCTGTCCTTTTAGGAGCACATGCCAAGAGAAAAGCATGCCAATTCTGCTTTCTATTTTGTTGGAACTGCTTCTCAAGTTTCCTGGAAGAGGATGATCTTGGCAAACGTAACTCGAAGGCCATTCTTGCATTGACAACAATACTTAAAGTGCCTGAATCAAACGGGTGATCTTGCTAGGATGAATAACATCAGTCTAGGTAAAACAGACCACCTTTATTTCTGGGCACAAAGAAAAGCAAAGCTATACTGGAAGTGAGGCTGATACTAGAGAACCAAATTCAAGGTAGATTGACAATTAATTAAAAGTTCATTCATATGCTCCATACACATGTTAGAGGGACAGTTGCTTAGCGGGAGCAATCTGAGATTGAACAACATTAGTTAACAATTATTATTTTTCAGATAATATGCATCATAAATCAGCTTCCTGAGATATCACTAGCTACTTAGAAACTGAAACCAAGTTATGAGTAGTCTTTTATACGCAAAAATGTATCATTTTACGTCTTAGAACAATACAAGGTAAAGGAAAAAGGCTCATACTCACTTTGAAAGAGAAACACCCCCTGCTTTTCCAATCATTTCTTCATGGTGCAGCACTGCCTGGTTCCACGGGATGCGAAGAAACTTTAAGAGAGTTCTCATCCATCTTTCAGGATGCAATACAAGTTGTTCGTAATGTACCAGCATACACCTTTCAAAACCAACCTCCATACATTGGTTATACATAGTTTCTATAGCACGATTCCACTTGGTCAAGCAGTCCCTGTAGCTGTTCAGGTCAAATCCAGCTATTGTCACTTTTCTAGATATCATGGAATGCACTGATGCACGACCATCCCGTACCATTAGAAGAAATCTGGCATTGGGGAAAATTCTAGCAAGATAAGTTAAGGATTTTAAAGCAAAAGGATCTTTGTTACACAAATATGGAGCAGGCTCCCCATGTTTGACAATGATTTCCAATAAAAATGCTTGCATGGCTGAGTCCAGAACCTCATCTGTGACTCCAGCTTCATCCAGTCGGATCTTCTCTTTGCTTGATCTAGCCCACATCTGCTTAACTGCCAGAATTCGTGGGATTACCCTTGTCTCTTCTCCACATCGAATATCCGGATGGGCATCAAGCATGGCACGCATTAAGGTAGTGCCACTTCGAGGAACTCCTCCAATAAATATTAAAGGCATGTCTTTGTTGTAAGCAAAGGTTTTGCTTGCATTTACATTGGAAGCAGTTCTTACTGTGCTTCTCACACTTTCCATCCTCACAGGCTGACTGCGTTCTTCTATTCGATGGTGACACTCCATAGCGTGTTGGCCCAAATAAAACACTGTCACTGAACTGATCACCAGACATGCTAATAGCAAGTTCTGTTTGAGTTTTCCAACCATTTTGATAAAGACTGTCACTTCAAAATAAAGGTCTTCTATTTCAAATTATCTTCTAGTTCACATGCCATGGGAAGCCTAATCCAAAATAAATTAAGGTCTGGCAAAGGGGAAAAAAAAAATAAATTTAGAAGTCTGTTAAGAAATAAATCAACAGAAATACCTGACAGCATTCAGTAGAACAATCATCTCCTGGTGTTGCATTAAGACCAGTAAATGCAAAGTCTAAACATGATCATCCTGTAATAAAAAGCCTCTTTGTTTACCCATAGAAGCAACACTAAACAAGATTCATAACTATAATTACTATTTACAGAGAAGTTTGCTGGTATATTTTAACAACGTATTTGAAAAAATTCAATTTGAACAACTCAAAGAATTCTGGATAGCTACTGCTAAACTTTATGGTCAAGAAAAGACATAATTTATACAAGGGACTACACATCAAAAAAGTAATTACAAAACCACTCTTCTTTACTTGAGGTTTTACAGAGAAAAAAAATTAAAAGACTGAAAATATGACCTCTCTGAGCTAGTCACCCAGATAAAAACAAATCAACAAGACACCCCACACAAACCATGTTAGAAATCACGGAAGACTTTAAGTATTAGAATGACTCTGGCTTGCTGAATAGATGGTAGCAGTACCCTGCTCATTGTCACATTTTCACATAACTGCATTATTTCCCGCTTGGCTTGAAATGCTTTCTTTGCCTCACAGGATACAAGATGATAGTAAAAGATGTTTCATAGTTACATATCAGCACTGACAGCATCCAATTTAATCAAGGCCTTTAAGCAATGAAGAAAAACAGTTTGCAAGTAAGGGAAACTTCAATTTTTACTTCAAGGGAAGCTTTGATTAAATTATATAGTCATTAAAAAGTACAAACACAATCCAGGATTAAAGTTGACTAAGATCAAAACTAAGATCAGCCTTGATTTAAATAAGAACAACAACAAAGGAATCAAGCCATGCTGACTTTAAAATTGTCATCTATCCCATTATCCAGATAATACAAAGCACAATAAACAAAAGAAAATTATTTTATCCTAACTTTCCTTTATTTCTTTACCTAAAATTTGGCCCTTAGAGATATTTCTCTTAAAATAAAACCAAACCCACCCAAATCCCAAACCCAACATAACCATAATCATTAATTATTTCGTTGATAGAAAAAACCCCAACAGAACACACCACTAACCTTCCCCCTCACATTTTATGCAGTGTTTTGAACTCCACAGAAATGTTAGCTGAAATACTGAACAACTGACTAAATTCGGAAGAAACAAAAATAGACCCTCTTCTCAATCAGCACCCCAAGGCAAAAAAACGAAGAGTTAAAGAATTGCATAATCTTAAATCATGTATAAAGCACTGCCAGAATAAAGTATATACTGCATTCTACCTTCAAATAAGGTTTGGATTCCTTTTAAGTAGTGCTAGCAAGCTTGCTCTTTCTTATAGTCTCTTCTACTTCATCTAGATAACCATTTGTGCTTGTAAGACAGCAAGAGTCTTCTCCCTCCAAGACAAAATGTAACACTTCATAGTTAAGAAATTGAAAATATGGTTACTACATTGAAAGGTTTATGGCAAGAACCCACGTAGCAAATCTAAAGTAGTGATAACAGTAAGGCAACTATGCTTCGTAAAGCAATATGGCAGCCCATATTAATGAAGTTTATGGTTATACTCATTTCATAGGTATAGCACAGAATAGAAAAATATACTATAAAAAAAATTAACTTATAGTACAATCTTCTTCCTGGTTGTACAATATGGCATTTAAATTAATCAGTCCATTTTAAACCCTCACAACTATTACAAAAAAAGAAAAGGCAAATCAAGCATGACCGCTGGTCGACTTTGTGAGGTATCAATAACATGGCTTTCATTCTGCTTTCTAATCTACAATTTAAGCAGTAATGATTATTGTGCAACCGAACAATTTTTTAATAAAGTGAATTTTATGACATCAAAAGCCAATGCTTTTCTCCTGTAAGGTTTTTTTTCAAATAAGTATGGTACTACTTTCTACAATAACACAGTATTTAAAAACAAATTAGAAATATATTACAATTAAGGGTTCGCACAGCTAACATGCCTATTAGTAAATATTTTATATAACCCCTTTTTTTAAATTCTAAAAAGTTATTTCTCCAAGCTGTAATAAAAGGAGATTAAATCTGAAACCAAGATACACGTTTTTAATTATATTTTTTTCATTTTGGATTCTGTAAATTGCATTATTTCTAAGATTTTCATTTTTACAGATAAGAAGAAAATCAAAGACTCTATTAGATGATTTCTGGACACGTATATGAATCTGAACAAAGCCTTCAGATAGAAACAAAGATTTACAAATCTGTCTGTTGAATTTCAGTGTAGACATTTACAAGGGGGACTAATAATATGCCATGTCTTACAGTGAAGAGCAGCGGGTTGTATCCAACACTGGCTTAGATAAATCTGCTCTGCTGCCTGGATGACTTGATCTGTTCACACCAACCTGCACACTGTATCTTTACTTTTACATTAACTGTTACAAATGGAATAGACAGTTGTTCTACATGTATTCTGTAGTTAGTTCAACAGCTTTGGATTTTCAGATGAGGTAGGCTAAAAACTGACTCAAAATTCAAATGAAATTAGTGCTCTAACTGAAATTTTAAATAAGAGCTTGCTTTTCAGGGCTGAAATAACTCACTGAACAGTATGAATCACAGATGCTTCTAGTTGTGAGGAACTCCAAGTACTGAGGTACCACCAACATTTTAAATGACTGGCTTCTTCAAAGCTGTTCCATCTTTGCCAGCAAAGCACAGCACCTTCCTGAATGAGGAACATGCTTATGCCTACTCTCTACCCTCTCTCCAAAACATTATCCACTTAACCTCTTCCTTCACATAAATGCAGTCACTGACTCAGAAGTTTTCAAGTCACCATCTGAGCGACACTCTCCGGATCCTGTCCCTCACCAGACACTGGCCTTCACAAACCGGTTGGCGGCAGGAGTCAGGCTGCCCTGCTGGTTCTGCTGCAACTCTCAGCAGCCAAGCGCCCCGCGCTTTGCAGTCCCTGTTTTATGAAGCTGTGCAGACAGAGGACAGAATTCCCACTTAGGTCCATGGCACTGCAGGGGCAGAAGAGGGAGGAAGGGAATTCCTCATGCAGGCATCTGTCACGGCAATATTTTTCTCTTGCCATGCATCCAAGAGAGCCAGTTGCTGAGCTGTGAGCAGGTTCTTGCCCCTTCACACTAACAAAGCTTATTCCAATCAACAGTTGTCACAATACTACACTCAAAGTTCAGGTTTTAGTCTTTGTTACCAAAATTAAGCTGGAATAATAATTTAAGGATTAATTCACTTCTTTTTATATAAAACGGCCAAAGAACTCTCCCACGCTCTCTTGCCAGATCACCACTAATCAATTCATCCTCCGTAACAAGTTTCATTCTACTTACATATCCCTCTTTGCTGAAGCGCTGGCTTTAACTGCACTTTAATAACTGGCCATTAAAAGAAACAAAGTCCCAGAAATTTAAGTGGAGGTCATCTGAACAGTGCTCAAACAGAAAGAAAAAAAAATAAATCACGCAGTCTATACTTCCACAGCACCAAAAATCAGAAAGTCTCTCTCCTGAACAGATTCAGCATGCAGATCAAACTTTTAATTAGGGAAGAGGAAACTGTTCTTCTTAAAACTAGCAAGTAGTACATAGAATCTCTTTAAATGCTTTAGATACAGTAAAGATTTAGTTAAAAATCAGCACTCGTTCAAGAGAAGAGCTAACACAACAGAAACAGTATTTTGCCACAGAGTACATAAGACCTGCAAATATTTACACTTCATACAATCCCTAACATTCAGTTAGAGTAAATTCCACAAAACTCATTTAAAAAAAAAAAAAAAGCCCTCCACAAAAATCTTAATCTTCCAAACTAAAAACTACTCTTTGAAGACACTAACAAAAGTTAGCGATCACTAGAGAAGAACATCTCAAGACCGAGTGCATTAACTGTTTTCCACTGACCATTTATATTAGAATATAATTAAAATAGAACATAATTTTTAAAATCAAACAAAAACAAAACGCAAATACCAGCAGTATTGGAGGAAAGCCCGTTGACTGAAGGCTGAAATCCTCAATTCACAGGTTGGGTAAAGCAGAATGACGACTCACTCCCAGCGCAGTTTCAGCTGTGAATGCAAATAAGGGTTGCAGTCTGTGAGTAGGTTTCCTAAACTGCTGCAAGTATTGACCACTCGCCTACAAAACCAAAAACTCATCCATGTAACAAAATCCCACACCAAGGAATGACAGATGCTTTTATTTGATACAGTAATTCTGTTAATTGAAAGATGCCAAAGACTGCAAGACCATAAAGAGCTAGTATTAAGCTCTCCTACGACCTTCTGTACTATCGTTTCGGGTGTTTTTGCCTGGAAACAATACCTGGAGCATGCCACAGTTCATGGCAGTTGCAAGACCTGGACTTTGTACATCAGGAAAACAGCCAAGGAGCAGTCAGAAACAGCACTTCTCAGCAAACTAATCTATTCTACAAGCCAGCAAATCCCCTTCTGTGCCTGAAGTTACCTATAAAGCTCTCTAGGACAAGTATGACATGTGTAAGTTACTGCCCTTCTAGTAGCTTGCAAATAAACCCCACCTCTCCCTCCTCTACGTGAATGAATAAGCACTCTGGATCACATCTATCAACCTGAAGGATCATTACAAGTCATTAATGTTCTGCTGTTAACAGCAACTAAATTGACATCATTTAAAAATCACAACAAGGTAATCAGCAATCCCTTGTCATCATTTAATTAGAGCTTTGAAAAACTGCGGCATTTTTACCCGCTATGACCCGAGAAGTGCGGAGTGCCACTCCACCTAAAAGCACAAACAACTCCTAATAAAAATGCTTCAAAACAAAACACTAAAAAACCCCCACCTAAACCAAACAACCCCCTCACACACACACAACACAGTCGTAAGCTGAGGAAGTTGAAGATGACTAGAATGGTAGAGAAGGTGTTTAGCAGCAAGTTTCAAATGACAGACTAAAACTAATTCCTAGAAAGACTTCAGTGCAACTCAAAAGAAAGACAGTCAGGATCTACAAGTTTCAGTATGAGAATGTGCAGCTAAGCAAAAGTGTATGTCACTGAATTTTATTCCCAGAAAAATCAGGCCTCTGAGTCACCCACAAGATGATGTTAGCAAAGCAATGACTGCTTTGTTTCTTCCTTCTGCACACACTAATTCTCTCCCTACTCCCCTCCTGCTACATGCAGCAGGTCAAGACCTTTTTCCTCAAGTTCATCCAAAAAATGTTGAAGATTTTCTAGCTTAGTCAAGAAGTCATTTGTTTGTATTAGAACAGTTTAAGTTTTGTAGTTTAAAGCACTCCCTGTTAGGAGAAAAAAAGATGATCCATTACTGCCCAATAATAAGAAATCCTCATAAGCTCCAGAGCTCAGACTTTACTTTGGAGCCCGGAACGACTGATGAACATCTCCCTTCTCATGTTCAACCAGGAAGATTTTACCAAGGCTAAGCTGACAGGAGAGCAACACTGGCATTATTCACCTCAAAAAAAAACCCCAACCCACATTTATGTAAAGCATTTTTCAGTGATTAGCTAGTCCTCTGCTTCCATCTCTTGAACTTGTGGCTCAGATTTTGATTACCAGATCTCTTTCTAGGAAGAGCAAGTATAGTAGCACTACTTAAGATCTCTGTGAGTACATCTTGTTCCTGCATCTGTCCAAGCGTTCTCACAGTGTTCGACCTCAGCGCTTCTGGAGAACTCTGCTGGGAGGAAAGATCACACTTAGGACAGAGGGGAAGAGTGCTAGAGTTCATACTGCTGGAAAGTTGTTTTTCCCCTCACATTTTTACAGTTTACCCTCATGTCCTCCTACCATGTTCCTATGATTTTCTTTTCCTATTTAGAAGGTCTACTCAATCTCTTAGTCTGTAGGGCCATGACACCGCCACACACACCCCCCATGGCTTTCTGCAGTAGACTCCAAAATACAGATGCCAGAAATAAGATTCTCACAGTTGAGATGCGTTCAGGTGCACAACTGCAGTCTGACTACTACACCCAAAGCTTGTGGTATAAATCTGAACAGGAAATTCACGTTACAGTGGCAAGGTAGCTAAATTGAAGGGGAAAAAAAGCCTACACTATTGTTAACCATTGTCACACTCTGCTCTTGACTGCAGAAGGAGAAAGAAAAATGCTGCTAGGACTTAAAGAAGCAAGCATCAACCATGTCAGTATCATCCTTGTCTCTTTTTGCACCTTCACTTTGCCTCTGTAAAAATAAGTATCAGAAAGGCAGCAGATATTGAAAATTCTCAAGAATCATCTTCAAAACAATATACTTATATATTGTTTATATATACAATATACTAGTGAAAATATATTTCTTAGGGGAAGTTATCAAACAGTCCAAGTAAGACGACTTTGCATACATTAGTCTTTCAGCATTCCTAAATGAAAGTTAAAGAAAGGAATTCCATAAACCCTTTCCTTCAATGAACTGGTTTGTTTCTGGTTGTTCGTCTTTGTTCACCACAAAGAAGATTGCATAGGAAAGCTAACAGTTACATGATAATGGTATAGCACAACACCAAGGAACACGACTGAAATATTCACAGTATACCACTTCAAGAAGCTATCCAAACCACCTTAAGCTCATTTAAAAGAATGTTTCAAAAATCATTTAAGTATTCAGGAAGCATTTTTATGCCTTCAAAGCAATGTCTGCACAATCACCTTAATGATTTCCCCAAAGACAAGGTATCATGTATTACTACCATTCACATAACAGAAGCTGACAGGAATGTCAAAGTACAGCACAAGCAATCAAACTCCAAGCAAAATACTCAGCAAAACTAGAAATAAAAATCAAGAAGCCTTCAGTACCAAGTCCGTCTTCAGCTTTTTAAGTCATCGTGGCTCTCAAGCACTGCAGCTGTTTTCTCTAGCTTTCTCCCCCCATTAGTTATACAACAAATAAAATGAGCAATTTCTATTCATCTCTACAAAGAAATAAGCAGTAAGCCACCTGGCAGAAAGCATCTGGGATGAAAGAGAGCCAACTAGACCTAGTGAAGCCAGTCTTCACGCAGAGTGGTTTGACAAGATGAATGGTAAGACAAAGTTGGACAAAATTAGTATAAGGAAATGCAGATGTGTGAACAACATTCCCTTATAGTTCCTACAGTGTGAACTATAAGGGAATGTTGTTCACACATCTGCATTCCTTTGAACCTACACTCCTTTTTTTGAGTTTTTTTGGGTTGTTTCTGGCTTTTTTTTTTTTTTAATCTGAAGCTCTGAAAAACTGTAAGTGGCCAATTAACTTTCACAGCCATAGACCACTTCTGAATCCAAAGTTTCCATATTGGGGAAGACTGCATACAATTATGTAATAATTCCATAATTTCTAGTACAATCACATTACAAGGATTTAAAAAAGTTGAGCTCATATTTATGCATTTCCCTCATATAATCAATAGGTAAATGATGAAGCAAGCCGTACCCTTTTACCAGTTAAACCCTCCCAAAAAAACACTTTCTCCATAATCTGCTAAATAAATATATATACACACAAATATATGTGTGTGTATAAAGAGAAATTCAGAAGCATTTGTCCCTCTAGATCTAACACTTACAAGCTTTCTTAACAAGCAAGAGAAAAAACATACCTGATCCAAACCAGCTAATAAGGTTTCCAGAGCACTCAAAATTCAGTATTTTCAGGTTTTTCAACATTTAAGACCTCTAAGATAAATTTAAGGTACATTTAGTTAAAATGTTCTACTTCAAATGAAAGCAAAAGGACTGTACATATTCTGCTCTACCTACCGATATAATACATTGGATTTGCATATGGAATGATCAAAAACCAGTTAACAACATGCTCCCAGTTAATGCAAGAATAGGTAGCATTTGTTAAGCACTACAGTTACAGCTGGAGAATAGTACAACAAAAGGAATTTTATCGGCAACGCACATAGGTTTAAGCTCAACATTTATACTTAAAAAAAAAAAAAAAAAGAGGAAAAAGTCAGTAGCACACTAATAGCAAACGAGCTACTGTTCCGTGCACTTTTATGCGCGCTGTGCCTCCCAAGAGGGATTTCTGCACTCCATTATACAAGGTACTTCAATAGAATCAAACTGCTTAATAACACTAAAAAGATACAGACCGACCAAAATGTGCACAACACGTTCACCATAACATATGCGAATGCCTTCTTCCAGTAATACCACCAGCAAAACTCCTTCCAGCGACGAGCCGGGTCAAGTCTACTGCTACAGAAGAACTACTGCCGGAACGCTTACACCTCGTACCAAACCCGTCGTGTTTGCAGCTGTGAACGCAGCGCGGTGAATCCGTCCCCGGGTGCCTCCCCCGCGGCGGCGCAGCCCCCGCCAGCCTCCCCCGACACATCTCAGCTGCTGAACAAAGACACCAGAAGCGCTGGGAGCTCTTTAAGCAAGTTAGCCCGCCCGTACGGAAACTTTCCGATTTACCCGGCTCGGATCCGCCTCGCACCCCGCCACGGCACCGGCGGGAAGCGGCGAGTGGGCCCCGCCGCGCATCCTCGGGCGCT